CAGTGATGGCAGCTATATCAAAGAAGGTGGGTGTTATCATTCCGCCCGGAAGGTGGAAAGTGTTATAAGTGTTGTCCCAGAAGTACAATGAAGCAAATAGCAATGGGTGACTGTAAGTAAAGCCTGGTTTCGACAGTTTGATTAAATTATAAATTCCTAATTCTTCCCATTGCTGGGATTTTTTGGATTCTACCTTAGTGAACCAGTTTTGATATGCTACATCTGAAGTGGGGCAGGATCGAAATGGTTTGAAATTGCTTTTGATGTAATCTAAAATAAAATGATCTTTTGGAGGTGAGACTGGAGTTTCAGTTGTTTTCGGATCAGATGATTCGCTTAGGTCTTCAGTTCCTGCCTTAGGGGCATCCAGCTTGTTGAATAGGGGTTTGAATTTATAGCAAACGGGAAAAAATTTCCTAGTATCTTTCAGAATTTCAAAAACAGTTAAAGGACCCATTAGGGCAAACCTTTTTCCAGATACAATGGTAGGGATTAATACCTGAGAAGAATACAACATTTCTTTCTCTTTGGAGATCACTTGAGGATTGAGCACAGATTGATTCTGATAAATACTCACTTTTCTCTCCATGACGGTTTCTGTGTTGTTCTTGTTCTTCCTCTTGGATAATTTCTTCAATTGTGATGATGTTGATGAAGACATTGTCAAGATTGCTGGAAGTTTTAGGGTTTAGTGAAAAAGGAGGGGGATTTCAGAATTTTGGAGAAAAAGAAGAAAAGACTAACCTGATGAGTTTTATAGAGTGAGTATAAACACCCACTAAAAAGACTTGGGGTACGTGGAAGTCGTTGGTTGGATTCAGAGAGAGGTGGCGTAAGATCTAGTGTTGGTAATGAGTGTGATTAATAGTAATCATTATTTTAAAACCGCACCATGCTGTGGTAACTGGTCCAAGACGGTTAGGTACTCAAAAAGGCGCCTTGATTGACGTGGGTAAAGTCATGTACAGTAAATGTCATGATTCTTCAAAAGACCTATCAAAATCTTGTGAGTCTATTTAAAATAAGTATTTCTCAAAGGGTTCGAAATACATATTTTAAAGGGGCATTTTGTTGGCTGAAGATTTTGATATTATGATTCGAAATAAGACGATTGGGCTTTGTTTGAATAAAGCAAGTTTGATGATTTGGAATGGAAGAGACTGTTTGTTTCAAATGGAAATATTAAAGTTCAAGGTTTCGAATATAGTTGTGGAGTGTAAGTCTAAAGCCTTGTTCGAAATAATGATGAGACTATATTTGTGAGGGTTGTTTTCGAAACGAATTCGAAATGAAGGTACCAAGGCGCTTGAAATTCAAACGTAAGCGGGATATTGGAAATTCAAAATACATAAGCATTGGAACATTCGAGGACACGTGGAGGCTAGAGGGAAGTAATGCTCTGCATGCTTCGAACGTGGCAGATTCTGATAACAAGACCGTTATGGTCGAAGTAGTATAAATAGAGGTCTTAGTGTTAGGATTTCAGGGTGTCATATCTGTTGTACAAATTCAATAAACATTCAAAATACCGCATGGATAGGGAAATGAATGCTCGAAAGATGTACGTATGATAACACCAACATTTACAATTCAATGAAAACTCTTTGCATTTTCCAGTTTTGTCTTTCACTTCCATTTCATTTGTGCTTCAAACAATTTTACGTTTATGCCTTTACATTAAAGCCTTTACATTCGAAGTCATTTATTTCTTTATGCATTTAAACACTTTTCTTATGTTCGAATCCTCTAAACATTCAGTAACTTTTACATTCACTTACTTAACCCTGCCATTTGCCCAATCTTAAGTATTTTTACTTTTCTAAAGAACATTCCTGATATCATATAGAAATTGTCCTTCGAATCATTCAGTATAGTAATTGAAGTGGATTGGATATCTTTGAAACACTTTAATTAGAAGTCCTAAATAGGAATACCAGTTCTACAATTAGACTTGACCAAACAACTATGTTCCATAGGATTAATCTAGTCGATCCTGCAAGTTACCAGAGAAATTGAATAACAGTAATTAAGTTTATTCGATAGTTTGGAAGACTAGCGGTTGTTCACCAGAAATTACTGTGAACAGCCACGTGTCTGGCTAGTGTATCACCACCTCCCCGCGAGTTCTCCTCGACCTCTACACGGAGCAAATCACGGATTGGGCGATGTCTTACGTCCACGATTGAAAACCCCCGTGTCGCGCAAGCGAGTCTCACGAAGGGGCAAACTTGAATCAAGTCATAACTCTCATACCAGAAGCAACGACTTGGGGGGCTCCTATTCTGGACTGAGTCTGCCCTTGGCCCAACCACCAGTGAGGCCCAATCCAGGCTTGCCAACCTACTACGCTGAGCAGTGTCCCACCGAGCACACCCCGATCATAGGTATCTGGTCGGCCATGATTGCATCCCGCCGGTGCTCGCGAAGAATGTCCCCGACGAGCACGCGCTCCCTCCGAGCACCCTCCTCGTAGGGCTGACTTTCGACCTCTCTGGATTGCGCAGAGTCTTTATGGTCCCGAAAAGACCGTGTCTTTATCCTCCCTGTCTTGCGGAGGGCGTCATCCAGGTAGGGGTCACGTGCGGGTCCCCACTACTCACGTAGAACCTGACAGTCTCTTTGTTGGACATGTTTGATCAGCCCAATAAAGAGACCTTGACTCAGTGTTGGGGACTATAAATACACTCTCTCATGAGAGGGTCGGGTACTCATTCATTCACACCTACATTCATACTTGTTTGCTCATTCCGTCTCTCACTTTGTCATCGAAGTGTCTTGCAGGTACTCCCCGCCCATCTCCTTCGAATCTAGTCTGAAGCCAGCTGTGACTCTGATCAGGTTAGATCACTACTTAATTAAGAGGACAAATTTTTGCAAGAGGGTAAATTTTATGGTGAATAAAATACTTCAAATTTTTTATAAAATATTTTTTGATAAGTTAAATATACACTTTCTAAGGATTTTTTTTATCAAAATAACCATCTTTTTCAATAAAATTCCCCAAATAGCCAATTAAATTAGATTGACATGTGCTTTGAATTGTTTTTTTTTTTCAAAACATAAATACTTTAGAAATTAATGGACAAACATGATTATTTGAAGAATTTTGTTGAAAAAGATGATTATATTGATAAAAGGTATCCCTTCTAAGATTATATTTATATTTTTCATTAGTTATTATTTTATCCCAATTTGAAAATTGCTTCTTCTTCTACACGCGAACCATTAGTATCTATTTATTTCGCATGATTGTACAAGGAAAGATTGATGAAGGAACGAAAACCCAAATTTCGATGTCCTTTTATTGTTTGGCACAGGAAGGAAAGTGGAATATATGATATACAGGCGCTGGGACCCATAACATTATTCTTTCCGTTCAAAAGTGAGAGGAAATGAGAATACTAAGAGCATCTCCAATGGTGTTACTCATATTTGAGATTTTTTTGGGACCTATTAACCCACATTATCTTGAAGCAACTCACTCAATTTTTCTTTAATGGTGCAATTTTAAAGAATTTATATTGGGTCCTACAATTTTACTTTGTATATTAATATTTTATTTATACTAAATTTTATTTGATTTAAAATAATAATTTAAATTACTTAAATTAATATAAAATAAATGAAATTAAAATTAAACATAAAATTTGAAATTAAAGAGTAAATAAAAGTGAGAGAAAATAAGATTGGTATACAATTTTTCAACAAACCTATATTTATAATAAATAAAAAAAGTTTTAAAAAAAAATAAAAAAATAAAATCGTTGCACAACGACTAATTGATTATTTTAATAATAAAAAAATATGAAGAATCGTTGCTTATATTTGTATCGTTCATTAGCTGAAACAACTTTTTTGTTGACAATTTCAATGCAAGCTGACAAACCAATCTGAAAAATAGTCTAACAAAAACTTCTATTCAAAAGACATTAATAACTAATGAAACTATTAAATTATTCTTCACAATACATTATATTATAAGACTATGATTGTCATTTAATTAATTTTTTAATTTTTTTTAATCTCACTTTTTCTTTCCTTCCTTCCGGTTTTCATTATCAACTAAAAAATCATAACACTTTCTATTTACTTTCTCTCTTTTATCTTTCTTTCTTTTTACTTTCTTTTCAGATCCAAACAAACCCTTATTGTATCATGAAGTAATTAGACTCATACCGGTTAGCATTTGATAGTTTAAAGAGAAAATTTTATGTGCTTTAAGATTGCAGACTTCCCTAGTCGGTAATACTATTTTAGGATTAAAAATAGACTTTTGTTTCCCATTGCGAGTTTTTATTTTCTTACAGATTTTTTTGATTTTCATGGAGATTTTAATTTTAGAAACTACAACAACAAAAATTAATATTCAGGACTTATGTTCAAAAAAAATGTATAGAGAGAAACGAAACCAAAAGACTATTTAAACCTATCTTTTATTAACTATTACTTCCTTCATCCCATACTATTTATGACATTTGATCATTTCACATATATTAAAAACAATAGTAAATAAAAGAGAGAATAGTGACTTTATCAAATTAAACTGATTAATCATTAGTATATTCAAATTAGCTTTAATATTAAGTAAGAAAATAATAAGTTAAAAATATTTATTAAAAAATATAATTAAAAGATTAAATATAAATTACATTGATAATCTAAAAGGGATTCTAATGGAAGGAGTAACATTTATGTGGTCAATATTTTAGAAATCATGTATTATTACAACATTTAAAGTGAGTGCATTTTCAACATAAAATTGGAATCTAGATTTCATTCGTTCACAAACAGCACTATTCATGCAGTTGTGATAGTCTGATCGAGATCGAAGATCAGACAGTCCAAAAAGAATATAAATTAGTGTGCTGAGATAACTATTCTGTTTGGAAGTATTTTTTTATACAATTACATTTCAACAAGCTCAAACATGAGTTGAAAATAAAAAACATGTTATCACATCAAAATACAAAATTAATAGAAATCGAAAAATATATAATGTCTTATAAATCTGCAAAGAAGTTGTTTGAATCACCTACAGTATGCCCAATACTTGCATTCTTTGTCTTGTTCCCTGCAAAGGTATATCATCAACAAAAAATGAATTACAGAATGCACATAGCCTTTCAAAAACCATACCACGTTTGTCTCTACATATAAGCCGCTTGTTTAAAAAACATCCCTAAATCTAAACTTTATTTCAAATTGCAAAATACATTTTATCAAAATATACCCCATATTTAATACTATCAATATTTTTGGTGATGAAAAATATGAGTTTAACATATCTACATACAAAATGGTATTTTAAGTATATTTATAGACAAAAGAGACACATAAGATGCAATACATACTTTTCTTTTTTTTCTTTTTTTAGATTAAAATACATAAGTACTTTTATTAATATGTGAAAATTGTAAAATGAGCTTATAATAAGAAACATAGATAGTATGTGTCAATCATAGCTTACCTTTAGTGGATTTAGAAGGATTGTCATCAACATCCATCTCATCTTCGTCATCACTATCCACATCATTGTCACCCACCCCATTTTCATTTCTCTGTGTGCTTCTTGAACCTTGCAGTATACTATCCAAGTCCCATAGCTGCACCAAATGTTGGATGATCAGAAACTAAATTTATCAGTGTACAAAGTAATAAAGCAGACACAAACACACAGTATCCACCTGATGAAGGGCATCTTTACGGTTTGGCAACCAAAATTTTGAACCAACCAGTAGGTATAATTGTATTGTTTTTTCTTTAAAGGTTCTTTATGACCATACAATATGGACCATCTGATGAACTAATATGCTAACATAACCATCTTACTATGTGTTTTATCCATCATTTGTAAGCAGCAAATTGTAATTTATGTCATAATCTCATCCAAACATAGTAAAATACAAAAAGAAATTAATACAATTGGCCCGTAAGAGATTATGACATAAATTACAATATGCTTTTTTATATTTGGTCTACAATATTGGCACGTAAAGACTAGTATTTTATATTTGGTCTCCACTCAGGCTGAAATCCTCTAGGATCCAAACATGGCTTGCTTTTAACAACCGTGTGATTTATTGCATTTGTGATAATCTCAGGAGTCACCCTAAGCCTCAATCCAGTCTTACACTCTCGTCAAACACATGGAACCTTTGTGAGTGAAAAGGTTCTTATAAAGAGTCTAGGTGTGGCTTATGTATTTACTGACACCATCTTGCTGACATAGTGATCCTCTTACAAAGTCTCTAACCAAACTTCGTTTCTAGACTATTGTAGAGAAACTAAGGGTTCTTGATCACTTCCAAGAATCCAAGGGTGCTTGATCACTTCCAAGAATACAAGTCAGACAATAGAAGGGTACTGACATTTTTTCGAATTACATTTGAGTACGTTTAGGCTGTAAACATAGGACCAGAACTAATATTGGCACATGTCAAAATACTAGTTACTTATGATTTGTTAACATAAAATCGGTTGTGCTGTTAACTGCAAGTTAAAACTCGACGACTGTTATTCAGTTACTTAGACCTAACATTGCGCGCTATCATAAAACTCATCTCTGTCTACTGAAACTCAGAATATCATAATACATTTTCATACCACTCTCTTAATCTCTTTCTCTTCTTCAATATCTAGCTTTTTTTTCTCGTTTTCTGCCCCAGTACTTTACTTACAAACCACACTAAAATGACCATAAAATAGCTTACAATAACAATCATGAAAATGAGTGACTAGAATAAATGCTGCAAAAATAAAGGCAGTTGTGGAGACAATTCCTATGATTTTTTGGAAAATTAAGGAAAATACCTTTAACATTTGATCATGACCAATACTTCCAAGAAACTTTTTATCATGAGAGAATGCTACAAGATCAAACACAATCACAAGTCAAAACTTACTAGGAGCCACAAACAAGAAAAAATTTGGTAACATGCTAAAATGTATACTAGTGCCAGCGCACACAATAATGAGGCTAAACTCAGTAAATACGAAGGTCAAATAAGCTGCAAAAACTGCAAGCATAAAATTACAAAATCAATGATCATGAAATTGAGGTTTGGAACAATAGGTTTAACCCTTGGGCCAAAACAGACGCATCTAATTTTGAGAAAAGAGTAGGACTATGTTACCAAGACGCTCAACAGGGTATTCAGAGTGCTCGGCAATTGGCTGAATGATTCTGTTCGGCAATATTCCAACCAAGCTGAACATAAAAACAGAGTGCATATAAATGAGACAAAGAGCAAATGAAAAGATTGCAACAAGATTCAAACAAGAGGTGCAATGATCTAAAACTGCTTAAGACTCACTTGATCATTCCATTCTCCGATCCAGTAATAATCCTATCTTCATCAAGCTAAGATAATAATAAATTAATTAATTAAAATGCATATGATGGTAAAATAAATAAATAAAAGGCATACTGAAACTGTGTATAATCATGTTACGCTATCCACTAACCTTTAACACGGTATCAATAGAGTTTGAAGAGAGATCAACAAATCGATCACTAGAATTTAACCATTTGTAAGAATATCTTAGTCAAAGGGTAGAAGAAGTAATATAATAGAAAGACAATATCCAATGATTTCATCCAATGATATCTTTACTTCATATAAGTAAAATGATTTCCACCATGTAATAATGATATAATCCACACTGTGTACCTGCAATCCTTGAAGCATCCCCATGAATACAATAACAGGATTCCAGTTTGTGATCCGCAAACAACTTTCCTACCATTCTGATATACCAGCCCAAAAATGCAAACATTAGTCATGTGGGTGTTTTAATAGGATGACATTTGTGTGCCAAACACAGTGTACCGTTAAGGAAAAAGTTAACAAATAGAGACATTGGCAAAGTGAATGCTTAGTCATAGAATTAAATAATTAAAAGTTGCTTTTAGTATAAAAAAACACTGCTTTGATATTTTGAGGTATTTTGCAAAAGTATGAAGTACTTTGAGTGACAGCAGAAATGGAAAATATGAAGTTAATAAAAAGTAAAGATTATGGCTTGTTTCATTTGCAAAAATACTTCATGTTTTCATTTCTGAATTTCTAATAGGACAAGACTTGAGGATAAATGAAATAGTGTAGAGTGTATATTAAGGAAATTATATGAACCACAGAAGAACCTTCTAAGACTGTATTAATTGAATAAGAGGTAATAATATCGATGGAAAGAATTTTCCTTGCATTAATGGAAAGTAAATGCTAATAGAACGATAGTCCCACTGTAGAAATATCCTCTACTAAGTTTAGAATTGCTCACTCCACAGTCCCAAATTCCACTCCAAAACCAGTCTGCCTTTCCTCATAACTTAATTCTGTTATATGCATATTCTTCTCTCTCTCCTTATTGAATCTCTCAATCCCCACCACCACTCCCAAGTTGCCCACATGTACAGTTAGTTTGTTAGGAACCCAATTCAAGAGATAAGAGAAAATTATTATTAATGATAAAAAGAAACTATTACAGAGAATAAATTCCCTATAATCCCTGAGCAAAACTCCTCAAAGGAAGAAGAAACCTCCCTTTGCCCAACCCTAAGGTTCTAATACAAATGATACTTAATAATCCCACTATTTCCCTCTCACAGACCTCATACACTCCTATTCACTTGTAACTTCCCCATTATCTCTAACCAACTTGCCAAGTCAGCACTTTCCCTCTCCATTTGGGTCTCTTTCTCTAAATGGGGGCCTCTTTCTCTAAATGGGTCCTATCAATGTCACCCTCTTATCATCAACCTTGTCCTCAAGGTTGGAAGTAGTTTTTGTTGCTTCCTTGCAGCTAGATGAGACATTAGTGTATTAGAGAACCACATAGTAACAAACCTGTTTCGGGAGTTAAAAATGAACAGCAATTGCAGCAATATACTTAAGGACCATAAATCATTCTCTTTTTGCCAATTATAGTTCCTTTCTTGATAGAATTGACCAATGAATTCAGAAAATAACCCCAGCTTATTGACATGCCATGATCCTCTAGTAGAATCCAATTTGTGGTATTTAACACCAATTTGGATTCTCCAAATCTTTCCCCTATCATATATAAAATTAAGCCCGATGTATAAAGTGAGTAAGTTCCTCCAATAGCATTCGCAAATAATTACTACCTTCCTAATATTGAACTTCCCTGGCGGCGTTGAGAAAAACACAACAGTTGAATCATCGTCTGGTGGCTTTCTTGGTGGTGGGAGGCCCACAACTCGGAAATAATCCTTCAACCGCTTCTGTCATACAATGGTTTCTCGTTTCTGCAGACTCAGTGGCGGTGAGGAAGCCACAACTTGAGTATCAGCGTGCGGAAGTTTCGCCGGAGGTAGTGGGTTGATCCCACCCACATTGTGACTGTTTTTTCTTGCTACTGTTCGTCCATCGCTGAACCAAGTTTTTACATTCACCTTTTTGGCCATTGCAACCACGATCTTTTCAGATCCAAGTGCAGATGCATTGCGGTGCATCTCTTCTCCAACAAACTGCAACCACGTAACAAGTTTCTGCAGTTTGTTTCTTCTCCGCTATCAAAAATTTCCATCACCTCTAACTTAGATTCCTTTCTTTCCTCAATCTCTATCTGCGATTCTGTTAGTGTTTCTGGATTTTCCTGCATGGTTTTCCTCATCTGACCCTCAAATCTTCTCATCAAAGCTATGGAAAATGATGTCCAGTCGGCATCAAAGTTGTCTTGACACCAAGACTGGAACCACAACATAACACCACCTTCCATTCTCATGAATGCCCACTGCACTTTATCAGATGAATGGATTTTTTTGCTCCAGAAAGAACCGTTCTGCTTTGATGATCCATCCAAAACCAGCCCTTCATTCACGAACCAATTAGAGAATTCTACCATTACCATCTCTAACATTGGCTCACCGTCGATAATCCGGTAGTTTCCGGCAGTTTTGGACAGTTATACGGCAATTATCCAGCAGTCTCGGGCAGTTTCCAGCAGTTATCCGGTAGTTTCTGACCGTTTCGGTAATTATCTAGTAGTTTCCGATAATTTCTAGTAGTTATCCGGTTTTAGCAATTCACTGGCTCCGTCTCGAGATCCGGTAGGTCGGACCAATTGTTAGGAACCCAATTCAAGAGATAAGAGAAAATTATTATTAGTGAAAAAAAGAAACTATTACAGAGAATAAATGCCCTATAATCCCAGAGCAAAACTCCTCAAAAGAAGAAGAAACCTCCCTTTGCCCAATCCTAAGGTTCTAATACAAATAATCCTGAATAATCTCACTATTTCCCTCTCACATACCTCATATACTCCTATTCACTTGTAACTTCCCCATTATCTCTAACCAATTTGTCAAGTCAGCACTTTCCCTCTCCATTTGGCCTCTTTCTCTAAATGGGTGCTATCATAGTTACTTTACTCTCCCTCTTAACTCATTACTCCTATCATCATCTCTTGCCATCTGTCCATCTTTTTCCTTTCCATTTCTACCCTTCTTTTTATACACGTATTACTACATAGGACTATCATTTTCACTTTAAATAACAAAAATATCACATTGTTCTACAATTTTTGTATTTCAAATGTTGTATAGAAAACAACGAAAAACTCTGTTGATTTATAAATAAAAAAAGTAGAATTTTTGTAATTAAAAATGTAAATAGAAAATGAATATAAAAAACCTTTTCTCAAACCAAATGAAGTTTCGTACTTCTACCATAAAGCAAGAACGTAGCACAATAAACAATTCATAAATGGAGTTTCTTAAGGGTATGTGATACAATGATCATGTGATACCTTCATTAAAACAACAGACAATAGCTCGTCTTCAGAAAATTCAGATTGGGCTTGGACCTGTTAGTAAACCAGGAAAATGGTAGGTAAAAACTCAAGCTGATAAAGAGTGTTTATTGTTTGTTTCAAAAGGAGCCATAAAACATGTATATGCAACTTACTTTATTTCGTCGAAGATTGCAAACTGAAAGAGTCCCGTCTCCACTTAATAACAAAAGGAAGAAAAAAAATATTTGAGACTGCATTGATAAGTCACGGAAAGTAAAATTTGAAAAACATAATGTTATTCATGATGCGTGTTGTAAGGAACAGTTGAAGGTGATACATGTTGGAAATTCACCAAATCTTGTGATGAATTTCTACCAATCTTGATGAACAAGATTGATATCACCACACAATGACAATAAAAAATAAAAGATAGAGAAGTTTAAAACTTTTCGATACACATAGTTTCGACACCAAGAATTACAATTTAACAATACATTCTATATAGGAAGTTTAAAACTTAAATGTAAAAATAATAACAAGTACGGAACAAGTAATATTTTTGCAAATTTCAGTTCCCAAAGGTCACGCCAAAATTACAAACCAACTTAATAATTTACATAGCATGTCCCTCTATGCATTCTAGTAAATTGACTTCGCTAGAAAAAGTCAATGTTAGTTAAACATGTGAAAACAATTGAAGTATTTGTCAGTTCTAACTCTAAGGTTGCTCGCTAAAAGGGGAAAACCAGCTATTAAACAAATTTATAGTTGTCTAATTTATTTGCAATACTACACCAGCTTTTAAAGCAGTTACTATCAGGCACTGTAAGTTTTTCTCTAATTTGTATTTGACAAAACCAGTGTAAAAATAACATGATAGGAAAACAAATATCTAAATAAATTTCAAAGCTAAAATATATGGTTGTCTTGCTGGTATTGTTTCTTTTAAATGCAACTCTGACTATGTAATGGTACACCAACAAGAACATTTTGCAATTATAAATTAATATAGCATCCCCTTCACCAAAAAGTCGAAAAAACATTTTACAATCGGTACCGAGTGGCAACTAGGGTAATATTTTCTATCCATTCATATTTTCAGGAAGGTGGAAAAAGATACTGAATGAGTACCTTGTGGCCAATAGTTTCATTGCATCAGATGAAAATGTTATGTCTGAAATGTAATCCTCATGGGCTTCAAATGAATTGCAACAAGAACGTTCTCTGGTATCCCAAACCTACGAGACGTGAACACCAAATGAAAATAATTGAGGTAACAACGATGTATAATCTTTTTCATAATTCAAAATTTATAAGTTGGGAAAAGATGGTGAAGGTTGGAAAATAAATAGTTAGTAACTTATTGTTTAAAAGTGAAAGAATATATATGCCAAAAGTTATCAATGGATTCCACACCATAATCTGGAATTCAGAGCAAAAGCAAATGCTACAAATGTGAAATGCAACTGACTAGTTACCTTAATACAACCATCATCATCTCCAGAAGCAACGGTTGACTCCGTCAAGTTTATCAATCTATTGATCGCAGCCCTGAACAAAACAAAAAACCCCAGAAATTGCAAAGCTATCAGCACACAAGTGATTATGTAGGCCAAATCATGACAAATGAAGCATAGCAGCCGATCAACTCACTCATGGGCATTATCAAGTCGGGCAATGGTAGATCCAGTTTCCACATCTGTGGCCAGTATCGAGAAATCGGGAGAACCCGTCAACAGCGCTAAAACACAAACATTACAATAAGCCTTTCAAAGTCAAAATCATCCAAATGAAATCATCAATAACATAAACAGAATAATGATAAAATATATATATAAAAAAAAGAAAGAGGAGATCAAAAGCTATACAGTGCATTACCACGTCCACCATTGATGAATCGAGCAGCTCTACAAGACTCGGTATGGGCATGAACTTCTAACACCCTGGAATTTAGAAGAAAAAATAATAATCACAATGTTTGGATTACAAGCATGAGCTAACGTATTAATATAGCGATAACATATAACAAATCGGTAACAACATAAAACCAAAATACATGCACGTTTTTAGTATCCAAAAAACATTAAAAGAAAAGGAGTTCAGAATTTACTTATACCTCACAGGATCACTACTAGTGTTATCAGCGCTATAACGGTATCTACAAGACACGTGATTCACTACAATCATTAATAACTATAAATGCGACAAAAATAACAATAACTAACAACATTGTTGCTTTATGGAAGATTAAACGGAGAGTGACTTACAAGTGAAGATCACCATCTATGAGTCCTGTTGCAACGAGATTATCGGATGGGTGAAAATCAATGTCAAATGCAAGTTTCCCCAAATTGATTTCCATTCCTGCAAACAACACACTGGATAAGAATGATAAAATAAAATATGTATCCACCCTTACTTTAGGTCCTTAAACCCTAACTAAACCCTATGACCTAATTTGTTGATACTTTCACAATTATTATGATAGCATAAGCACTTATATGACAACATATGTTATATTGAAAACAGTTTGATCTTAAACACTTGGATGATAAGCGCTTTTACTATAAGCACTTAATTTAGGTAGTTAATCGCGGCAGCTGATGCTACAGTGATGCAAACCGCACTTCGTATACATCTAAAGAGAATAGTACTGATGCAAATAATTGTCGTTGCGAGTTCCGTGCCCGCTGCATGAAAAAAAAAATGAAAAAAATGGACAGAGAAACCTGAAGAATCACGTAGACTGAGGAGAGTGAAGAAGATACGAAAAACTATCGAATAAAAAGTTATACTAAGAAGTTTATATCTATATAGTTATACTAAAACCCCAAATCACTGTATAGCTGTTATAAGGGATAAGAAAAAGAAGAGAAAAAAAAGAAAATTATCTAAAAATAAATAAAATCTCATTAGAACCGATAAATAGAAGAGTGGTGATTTTAATATAAAACTGGTGGGTAATTCGTGTTATCGTTCGGGTCTCGTATGATTTTTACATCATATGATTTAATATTGATTTGTAAAATTTTATCTTGTGTCAAAATTAAACTAATAAAAATCAATCAAAAAAATAATACCCAAATTAAACTAATAAAAAATCAATTAAATTATACAACAAAACTGACATGACTTGCAAAAATAATATTCAAATTTTTAATTATAAGTCCAAATAAAAACTTTGTAATATTATAAATTCCATAGTTAAACTTGTAAATGAATGAACCAACCAACAACAACAACTCGCATCACACGCCTGCATGGGAAAATATATCAAATAAGACATTCAATATTAAGCATTTTAAAAACTAATGAAAATATGTGGAATTTAAACACATAAATTAAACATTGGGATTTAATTTGTATCACAAAGAATAAGGTGAAAATGATTATCAACTAACAAAGTGCTTGAAAGACTTCTTTGTATACAACATTCATAGTGGTCGAACACGGTGCATTATGCTTGTCATGTATTAAGATTTTAAGACCACTCTTAGTTGTGACCCTCAAAATTGCAATACACAATTGTCCATGACTAAAAATAGGTGTAGGAAAATATAATCCGACATTATTAAGCGATTGACCTTGTGATTTACTAATTGTCATTGCATATGAGACAATGATTGGAAATTGTCTCCTAATCAACTTGAATGGTCACGGTGACTCAGAAGGTGACATGGACATTCGAGAAATATAAAAAATGTTACCTATGTTTTTTCGGGACATAATTTTTGCCTCAATGACGTGGTTTGCTAACCTTGTAACAATTAATCTTGTTCCATTGCACAATCCATCAGTTTGATCCAAATTTCTCGTTAGCATGATGGGGGTACCAACCTTCAATTTGATCTTATGATTTGGATGGTCCGATGTTCTTAGTTTACTTAGAAATTCCGGGGTTAGAACTTTGTATGCTTCAATATAAGTTGTATCGGTTCTATCAATTGAATTGAAACTTAGGATCTGCTACTTTGTCAAACATATTAACATTATTAATATGATGATGTTGGTTAACTTAATGTAATAATATTATACAAAAAAAATAACATGAAGCATACCTATTATCAGTAATTGAAAACACAACCTTACTCTTTTTGTTATCAGCATTGATTTGAGTTTGAGAAATCTTGGTCACTCCTCCAAGAATATCTATAATAATTCATGTATTATATACTATATAGATTTATAGACGTTGGAAAACAAATATTCTATGAATTAAACTAAAATCCACTAATAACATACCAACCAAAATATTAGACTGGAATTTGCCTTCAACAATGGCATCCAAACAAAGAATGTTCAGGTAATTCATAGGAATATCAGGAAGTTCAGCCTTCTTAACAGATGTTGAGCCACAAAATACCAACTTGAAATTATGATTAGCCGACTTAAAAGAGAAATCATTATTTGACACTTTGAAATTCTACATTACATATGAACATCCAACCGCGAATTGCTCCTTGAATTTTGAAACCAATAAGGGTGGCACAATAACTTGAATTGTATCTAACTACAATAAACAAACATACAAAGTTAGTTTTACCGACACCAATATTGCAAATACAAATTCATAACGGTCAGACTGATAAAATACCTCAGAATCAACCAAAATCATCTCGATGTGTTCCTTTTTCGATGCACTCGTCACAGTCCACAAATGCTTGCACCTAACAACAATCTTCCATAAATCCTTTGACTCATTAATATCCTTCACAGCTTCAATTGGGCGAGCCATAGAGTTGATGTATCATGTAACAACAACACGAAAAAATTGGATGGATGAAAAGTTGAAACAATAGAATAAATTGTAACAACAACATGAAATCATTTGTCCTCGTCAGGATAAAAGAACTGTATCCTAAACCCTAAACAAAAATTCTCAATCTTCGAATGAGTCGCATCCAAATACTCTTTAACCATGTTCTGAAATTTCCAAATCAATCAACATGAATTTAACCTAATCCTTCAAATTGGGGTTGAAAGAATCATCTTAAGGTAACAAAAGCCAGGGATTTGCAGGCCAACTCATCCAAAATGCTTATATGGCACTGATTTTTTATTTTATTTTTTCATTTGATTTATATTCCATGTGTGTAACTTACTCATGTAAATAACAAATATACACACTCCCTCTTTTGTCTCTAACACTCTCTCATCTCTCTCTACTCTATGCAGAAAACAAAACAATGATCAACACCTTCGTCACCGGAGAAGATGAAGTGGCTGGTGGTCCGGTGGAACCCTACCGAACAAAACCTAAAACCAAAGACGCTCAACACAAACACCCCCTAACTTTAACCCCCGATCACGGATCCAAGCTCAGATTAACCCAAAATATCATTGAGTGTTCTAGATCGAGTTTTGAAACCACAAAACCCTAGTTGATAAGATTCGGTGGAGACAAGGAGGATTAGTTCCAGTTTGTTGTTCGAAGGTTGAAGTTGATGTAGGGTGATGAGTAGAAGAGGGTGTGGTCTAGGGAGATAGGTAGAAAAATAGAGGAGTTTGTTGTGTGGTAGGTCAGTGGTGAAGATGGTCAGCGGCAAAATAGGGAGGAAATCATCAGCATATTTGATGTGTTGTTGGAAGGAGAACAGGGGAAATGAGTGTGAATGTCACATCAGTGGGATCTGGTTGTTTGATGTTTCACACTAAGAATATGGAGAATATAGTATGTGATATTAGTTGTCGATGATGGCGGATGAATGGTTGAAGAAGAGTGGACGGACGAGTTCCATCGGAGGTTGGGGTATACGAATCAGTTTCGTTCTTTCTTCGAATTCAGTCTTTTCCATATTCGACTATGATTTGTGATATTGCTGATGAGATGGGTTTGTTTGCAATTTTATATGTGTATTGAGAGCTCATGAAGGTTTAATGGTACATGTAGTGTTAGGATTGGATGGTTGTAAATTGGTGATGTTATTATTTGGGGGTTTTCTGATCTTTTAGGGATTTGGGGTTTTTCGGATTTTTAAGGATTTGGTTTTCTGTAATTATAATTCATCAATGTAGCAACGAAATGGGAGAGGGAAGATGAAGAGGAAAGATGAAAAAGGTGGATAACTAAGGGCATAATTATCATTTTCATGGATCATTTATACATGTGGAATATAAATTAAATGGAAAATGAAAAAATTCAGTGCCACATAAGCATTTCTGATGAGTTGGCCTGTTCAGGGGAGAAATTAAGGGAATTTTTAAATGACAGGGTGGGAATCTAAATCTTTTTTTTACAGGGGGGGTGTATCAAAACTCGCACAAATCGCAGGGAGCGAACTGGCTATTAACCATTGATTAAAATACTCAAGTAAGAAAGTAAATACCTTTTAAAATCACAACATACAACTTATAACTACGCCTTTGTGAAAAAAGCATGTTTAGATATAGAAGCTTTCCCCTCTCTCTAAACTTAGGGTTTTCATCCTTTGGTGGTTGTCGCCTCTTCTCTTGTAGGGGTTACCCCTCTCTCATCGGAGCTTTTCACTGCCACTATGGTGGTCTTCTCCTCTTAAATGGAGGTTCTCTCTCCACAGTAAGTTTCCCCTCCTCCTTTCTCATTCCGTCGAAACCTTCTCCCTTGTCAGATCCATATTTATTTCTTCCTCCAACCTCCATCAAGCTCTTTCTCCTCTCCGCCATCAACCATCACTCGCTTGTAATCTCAAAATCTTCTCCACAAATCGATGAGCCAAAGCAGTACGGACACGGAAATTGCCCCCACCAGAGCCGCCACCACTGGAGGATTTGAAAGTTATGAACTTATGCGAGTGTGTTCATGTAATGTTTTCTTTATTGTGCTTGTTTTGATGCGGTTTCTGGTTTTCCTTCCTTGTTTTGTTTTGTTGAATGTATTGTTATTAGGTTTATGGTGGTTTAAGTTTGTGTTCAAGGTGTTCGATGTTTTGCCTCAAAGAAGTTTGAATGTAGGAGTTGTGGTTTTGAGCAAGTATGAAGCTAGGGATGTTGCAAATCAAAGTCCTCTACCGACTCAATAAATTTTTCCTACACAAGTTGTGATTTTAATCAACCTTGTGAACCTGCATAATCGAATTGAGCATGATAAAGCTAAAGATATGATCCGTAACAGGATAAATTTAAAGATTGAGGTTCCAAAACTCATGTGGCTCATGCGGAAGAACTTCTCTTGGTTGATTGGATTAAGGAATTGAATTGATAACCTTCTTTTGGTTTCTATTTTCTCAAGCTTTTTGTTGTCCGTAGCTTGTTTGGGTTCATTTATTAGTATTGTTGTTAATTTGTAGATGGGAAATGCCATGACACATCTTCTTTCTCTTTATTTGTACTCTGTGATTTTTATCTATTGAATGAGTTTATTTACCGTAAAAAAAACTATTAAAA